ACACATTCTCACCTCTGGGAGCTTTCTTGGGCACTGGTCTTTTCTCTGCCTCACTCCCACCCCCTTGACTGACCAGAGTGGTCAGTCCTCCCCCCAGAATGTGGGCAAGCCTGTCTCCTCTGACAAGTGTCCTAATGCTCAGGGTCCTGGAGAACCCCTCCCCTGGGAGGATTGAAACTGGAGAGCTCGTGGGGCCACACATTCGCTTGCCCGTGTGTGTGGGCTTGCGCATGCACATGCGCAACAACATGCACTTGAATGTTTATATGGGTGTGAATGCACACATGTGCTCACGGATGTGCATGCTGGAGTACGGATTCATGCTCGTGCCTTGTCTGTGAGTGTCACTGAGCCCCCTTCCCTGCCCAGCCCGCAAGACAGCAGAGCTCGACCAGGAAGCAGTGGCCGCGAGATTTTCCTGGGGGCTCCCTGCAGAGGCACTGTTCTGAGCCTGTTCACGCGTTGGCTCAGTTCATTCCTCACCAGGCCCCACTAGAAAGTGATGTTATTGCCTCAGTTTTTTTGTTTTTGTTTTGAGAGGTTTTTGTTATAGGGCGCGTGTGTTCACCAGAGAGACAGAAAGTGAGACAGAAAGTGAGAAGTCACTCCCAAGGGGGGATAGCCACACTGCAATCTTCTCCATTCTCCTCTTGAGAATTTGGACATGCACACACACGTGCCCGGAGTTAGTTTAAGCCACCGGGTCCGGGAGTTGAACCACAGTTGACCACGTGGGAGTCCAGCGACATAGCCATCATGCCAACTGCTAGTCTCAACTACCTCAGTTTTATACACAAGGAAACTGAGGCACTGACCCAAGGTTATATTCTAGAACCAGGTGGAGCAGCATTCAAACCTCACATCCTGGTTCCCCGACAAACCCCTCTTAGACTTGAGTTTTGAGGGTGACTAGGGGGTCCTGTCTCCTATCCATGGTCCCCTCCCCTCCCTGTGCTTCTTTCCAGCAGTAGGTGGTCCTCAGGCTAAGAGGTGAGACGGGTGTTCCTACCCTCCATTTTGGCCCTGGGGGACTAGGGCCCCACAGAGACTGTCCACAAGTGCTACACACTGAACAGGGCCCACGTTCTGGTTTCCTATCACCTCCTACTGGCCCTTGTGGCTCCCCAGGCCCTTTTCTCCTGTGACAGGCCCAGAGAGGGCCTGGGAAATGGCACAACCATTTTACAGAGGAGGAACGAAGGCCAGGGAGCAGCAGGGCCTGAGCACAGATGTGAAACCTACAGGTGGCAGTACTAGGGTGCAAGCCCAGCTGGGCTGGGTGCTGCTGGGGGCCTCCCATGCCTGGGCTCAAGATGGCTCCAACAGGTTTCTGTTTTTGTAATTTAATTATAAAAGTAGCACAAGTTCACGGTTTAGAAAAAAATCAGAACCACAGAAGAGTGATGCTAGCCTAGACTGCCTTTGTGTCGTGGCTGGGTGTGGTCAGCCCATGGCATTCCCAGGGCACACAGACTGCCACTCAGGCCTTAGTACTGGCCCCTCCTTCTGCCCGAAGGTTCTTCCCTGACCTTCTGGACTTGGATGTCTGCCCTCAGGGAGGCCTACTCTGGCTACTATTTAAAACTGCAGACTCCTGGGGGCCAGCCAGGTGGCATAGAGGTTAAGGTAGCTGGAGCCCGAGTCGCAGACCCGACAGCTTGAAAAACACACCAGCCATGTGCACATGTATCCCCAAATCCTGAGAGGACAGTGGAGAAGGGATTGCAGCATGGTCATTCCCCTTGGGAAGTGCTTTCTCTCTCCATGGTAAGCACACATGCCCTATAGCAAAATGAAAGAAAGAAAGAAAAAGAAAGAGGAAGGGAGGGAGGGAGGGAGGGAGGGCTGGAGAGAAAGAAAGTAAAATGCAGACTCCTTCTCTGTTCCACTTTTCCTGTTTTTTCATGGCCCCGCTCATCCTCAGGCCCCGTAGCTGACTTATGATGAAGTTAGTGCCAATCTCACCTTACCACCTGTGGGTGGCTCTGAAGGCAGGGAGCACTGTCTGTGGCGTCCTGGCATGTGCCTGGCACCCAGCCATGTTTCACACACGAGCAGCCAGCCAGCTGCCCCTCACCCAACCTGACTGCCAGGGCGCCAGCCCTCTATCAGTGCCATCTGTGGATGGGCTCACCTTGCCTTATCCCAATCCTGTTTGGCCAGTGATGTGTATCTTGCTGCGCCTCCGTGTTTGTTTTTTTGTTTTTTTGTTTGCTCATCTGACAAATGGGAGTGGGTGGTCTGGGCGCTGCTGATGAGGTCTCTGGGCCTATGAGCTCTTTGATGTCTGTGACTGTCTGAGCACTGGGTGGACACACCAGAGCTTGGGTGCCTGTGTGGGTTCTGTCTGCCTCACGTCTAGGATCACCAGTCCCTGCCTTACTCTCCCCCGGGGCGATTTCCCTGTGAGGATGTGTGCTCTCGGTGTGGGATGGAGCCCAGACAGGCTCCCCTGGAGTTGTGCCCTGTACTGAGCAGCAATGAGCAGTGGGGATTCAGGGTTGTGGGGGTGACACCAGCCAGGGCCTGGGAGCCTCTGAGAACAAGAGCAGAGAGGGAAGGCTCACATGACCCCCAGAGTTGCAGAGAGCCCAGGGTGTCCCTGTTTATGGAAGTGCAGATGTCAGCTGTCCCCACAGGCCTGTGCTGCCCTTTGCCTCTGTCCTGCAGGGAAGGGAGGTCACCTGCTGGTGGGGTTGGCACCTCTGCTCCATGCCCTATCCTGTGCAGGTGAGGGCAGGTCCAGGGAGCCCATAGATGCTGGGCATGCCTGGTGCTGGATGTGGTAGAGGTGGTGCTGGGATCAGGGACTGTTCGGTAAGCCTGCCACCTCATGGAGTTGGCCTCTGGCCCTCAAGCAGGTGCTTAATTCGCACCTGGAAATTCCCACTGCCTGTCCTGTCTCCACCTCCCTTTGTGACCTTAGGCAAGCCTTCCTGAACCTCAGAGACTCTTCTAATGCAGGGACCTGGTGGAAGCCCTGGGTGGATGGATGAGGTGGCTCTGTGCCAGCCAGCAGGGTGGGTAATCAGGCCCCTGAACACCCCTCTTGCCAGTGCAGAGACAGTGGGCAGCTGCACTCCAGGCTGAAGAGTGGGAAGGCGCCCACCCATGCTGCCCTGCAGTCAGCGCGCTGGGAAACCTTGGGGCTTAGTGGATTCTTGGGGCACAATGCAGCTGTCCAGGGCTCTACCATGCGACCACAGCATTATGGGGGAGCCCTGGCCTTCTCAGGGGTCCCACCCATATAGTGTCCTGAATAGAGGCAAAGGCCCAGTCTCCAAACAGCCTGCAGAGCACTAGCATGACTTTACACCATGGTTATTTGGTTCCCAGCTCACGTTGATTTGATGTGAGTTCTCAGTGAATGCCTCCCAATGTGGGGGGGTCTGTGGCACCTGGGAGTCAAGCAGGGAGTGGCATCCTACTGCTGCCTAGCAACTGTCTCCTGGGAGATAGTCTGCTGGGAACTGCTGCTACAAGCCAGCTGTCCCAGGGCCCTCCAGGCTAAGCTTCTGTCCCAAAGGGGCCATGCAGAGGGCATTCCACTCCAACAGCTCCGCAGGCTCAGGCTCCAAGGAGGGCACAATGCTGAAACAGTTCCGGGGGGGCAGTTGAGGGTGCCCAGTGGTCACCCCACAGCACTGATGTCCCCCTCATTAATACCCATTCCTCAGGCACCTCAACATCTGTCTAGTACTTAGCCCCATGAGGAAGTACAGCCCATGTCAGCTGCCACACTCCACCCTGGCACAGGCAGGAAGTGTGCCGAGGACTGGAGGAGCTGCGTGGGAGACCAGGCTGTAAATGGCTGCTTTTGAACCCAGGGTATGGGATTTGCAGACCTGAGTCCTTCATCCCTGCTCGGAAGCCTGGTTTGTTTATCAGTAAAATGGGGGTGAAAGTTCATGGCTAGGGAGCTGAAGAGTGAAGAGCCCAGAGAGGAGGGGCCGTGCCTGTTACCCTCCCTCCCCGCAGCGGTGCTCAGACGTGTCATTGCTCTGTAAGTCAGCCGCTTCCAGTGGGAGACACCCAGCTGCGGGGCAGGAGGGCACTGGTGCTTTTTGTGTTCTCCTCCATGTCATGAAGCCTGGGGAACACAAACTCAGTTCTGACAGAGTTGTATGGGATTGGCCCGCGTGGATGGCGTGCCCTGGGGCAGCCCTGGCAGGTGTCCGTGGTATGTGGGATCCACCAGGCAGTGCCCACTTCCCAGTCCTGAATGCAGTTCCTCTGAGGGCTCAGGTGGGAAGGGCCCCTCCCTCACCCAGCCCCCAGACATGCTTCACACTGTGTCCCTCAAAAATGCTTTCATTTGTTCCCCATTTTTCTAACAGCCTCTAAAACCACAGCACTGTGACTGGGAAGGAGACCCCCTCCTAGGACCAGGGTAGGAGTGTTCAGAGCCTGTCCGCTGCACACTCCTGGGAGTGGTGATGAGGCTGGCTGGCTCACACACCACCTCCGCACCCAACTCTGCCTGGCCCTACAGCTGTGCGGTCACCTCTTCAGGGCAGGCAGCATAACCCCTTTCTACCATATCAAAGAGAAAACAGGCTCAGGGAGAGATCCGGGCTTCCTCAGCCATGCGACCAGTCAGCACTGGTTCCCTGTCTCCCGTCTCCTGGCTACCCACCACCCTGCGGCTCCTCTTAGGGCCTGCCCTAGACTCTGGGGGCCAAGAAGGGGTTCCCCATGACCTTGCCAAAGAACATGGAGGCCTTGATCTGGCCCACCTGGCCTCTCAAGTGGCATTTGGGAAGGAGGCCTGATGTCAGAGTTGAAATAGCCAGTGTGCAGACCAGGCCTGGGTGACCACCAGCACAGCACTTAGGTGTCTGGAGCCTCCACCCCTCACCTGTAAGTTGGAGACAAGGCTTTGGGGAGATTTAAATGGGAGTGTGGGGGTCCCCGGGTCTGGATGGAATGTGAGATGTGCTGCTAGCAGTGGGGGTCTTGGGGGTCCCGCCCTCCAGCGCTGCCTCCCTGCCTGCCTTCAGGCCCTGCTTCTCCTGGGGGGCGCAGCCCTGGCCTGCCTTGCCCTGGACCTCCTCTTCCTGCTCTTCTACTCCTTCTGGTTATGCTGCCGGCGGCGCAAGAGCGAGGAACACCTTGACGCCGACTGCTGCTGCACCGCCTGGTGCGTCATCATCGCCACGCTGGTCTGCAGGTGAGCGCCGCCGAGGGAGGGCGGGGAGGTCCTAGCGCGGGGAGGGGCGGGGCCGGCCGGAGACGGTGTAAGGGGCGTGGTTGGGGAGGAAATGGGGCCGGGCAGGCAGCTCTCATTGGCCCGTTACCTCTCCAAGCGCTGGCATCGCAGTGGGATTCTACGGCAATGGGGAGACCAGTGATGGCATCCATCGGGTCACCTACTCGCTTCGCCATGCCAACCGCACTGTGGCGGGGGTCCAGGACCGCGTGAGTGTCCGCGATGTTAGGGGGCCGGGAAGTGCGCTTCCTGCTTCTAAACCCTGTGCATGTGCGGGTCTGAGCTCCGGAGCTTGTACAGGCTGCTACTAAGCGCATGGGAGGAGGTGGGAGGGTCGGAGAACCGGGTGCATGCTTCAGCCTTAGGCGCCTCCCTGGTCCTGGCGGCAGGTGTGGGACACGGCAGCGGCCCTGAACCGCACAGCGGAGCCCAGCCTACAGAGCCTGGAGCGGCAACTGGCTGGGCCGGCAAGACCGCTC